ATTTCAAGGCAGTAAGCAGAAAGCCCTAATCTTATTTAAATAATACAAGTAATTTAGCTATAAATTATCCTATCATTTGCACACAATTATATTTCAATTAAAAGTTTCTCTTTCACCTTTTAATTAAAGAAAGCACTGCAAAAGTTGCATTAGTCCAACAATTGCTACAAGAAGGTAATTTCCCTCTCAGCTACAAACAGCTAAATCAGTATAACAAGCCTACATTTTATATAAATCTTTAAGGAAAGACCTAATATTTTTGATGAAATTTCCCCAACACTAATGCAAGAACTTGGACCACACTGTACATTCCTCTAGGTTTTATCATTTACAGTAACAGTAAATTTGTTTCACATAACTTGTTAGAGGCCTTTTAAAACACAGCTACATTCTAATGTGTAAAGGTTTAGCATGGTCTCCAGTTTTCCTCTGATGTTAGGAGTCTATATTCCTAGTTAACCCTTTTATTTTCCATTATTTTTTTCTTTTGTAATATGATCTGATCCTTATATAGGAAGATTTTCATTTATAAGCTTTGTATTTCATGACATTCTTGATGTCTTTCATAATGTTTGATTGCCAACAGTAAATTCTCCCATTTTGAAAAAAAATTAAACATACACACACACACACACAGATGAAAAGATACTGAGTAGCTAAACAATGAAGATTTTCAACTTGAATGGCTTATCTGTATAAATGTTAACACACACACACACACACACACACACACACACACACACACACACACCACTTGATCCCTCCCTTACCCAGTTATTTTCCATATACAGTATGAATATTCCCAGATCTATGTAGGTATCTAGTCAGTAAAAACAGTCCCCCTTGAAATACTGAATGCATAAAGTGCTCTAATATTCTTGTCCAACAAATGCAATCTCTAGTATCGTTATTCATTAACTGTAATTACTTTAATTTGTATAGCTTTTATCTATTTAAAAAGAACTCCCACATAATTTGAATTTAGCTATTTACACTGTTAAAAAGCCAAAGGCCTCAAGAAGTTATTAGTGAGGCAATGACAACTAGGAAACCATGATTTAAGTTCCTATTTGTCTTTCAACTGCCAAAGGCTAATAGACATAGATTTAATTATAAGAACTCAGACTCCTTTAAAGCCAGAATTACTTGGCAGGCAGTGTATTTAAAATTCACAATTACTTGTGCTCTGGAAGGAAACTCATCTAAGCAAATGTAATGTGTTTCTGGTTTGATTCATACAGAAACCTTTACTTAAACAGTAAAGGTTAGAACAATAGAAAAGCAATAATTACAATGCCTTAATTGTTTCCTTCAGGGGTTATAACTGAGACAAGTATATGAGTGTATAGTATTTAGGATATGGCTTCTCTTTTTGTTTAGCCTCAAACATATATTTTTTTCTTCATTAATTAATTTATTTTTTGTTACAGATGTTTCTCCTTTTTCTCCCCAGACACCCTCCTCCCTATCTCACCCCCTGCCCCCAGCATGATGGTTTCTCTCCTTGGCTTGTAAACTCTATCAGAGTACTGACTATCTCTTCCTTACATTCCATCAATGTGTATATTCATTTTAGGCATCCCAGAAAGTTCGAAGAAAAAGTTCTGATGTAACAGTCTCCATAAATTTACTCATGAATTTTTCTTACTGTGCTGATGGTTTGGTGATGAACTAGGCACATTCTTAACTCTTTGAATGTAGCACCTTGTCATTATCCACACAACCCCCCACTTCCCGCACTAGCCATCCCCATCTCCCGATCACTAGAAGGCATTAGAGTGATAGACAGGAGCGCTTGGAGGGGTTCTCAAATCTAGTCCCATGAAAGAGAGGACAATAGCAAGATAGCACATTGGAATGTCTGTTTCAAACAGCGTGGAGACAGTGAATGAGTATAGTCACATATTAGCCATGTGACTTTCTGAAAATCACTGAACCTCACTCTCTGAGCCACTTGTAAAACGTGAGTTCAAATCCCCATATCTGTGACATAAAGATTCCCTTCTTTTAATACATCATAGTGTTCTTAACCATTACTGGCTAAATTTAATCAAGGAAAGCATAGCTATGAGAGTATTGTTCCTATAGGAGATGCACCATGGTAAAACCCTCTGAAGATAGCATGGGTGTGTGGAAACTGTCATCCAACAAAATACTTTAACTACTATGTGTCTTTAGTGTTTTAATGTCTGTTAATTTTTTCTCTATTCTTTTAAATTCAGGAATCGCCCTGGCTGGTTTGGCTCAGCAGTTAGAGTGTCAGCCCATGGACCAAAGAGTTGCAGGTCCGATTCGGGTCAAGGGCACACACCTTGGTTGCAGTTCATCCCTGGGCTGGTCAGGTTGTACGGGAGGCAACCAGTCAATGAGGCTCTATCACGTCAATGTTTCTCTCTCTCTCCCTCCCTCCCACTTTATCTGATAATAAGTAGAAAAATATCCGCAGGTGAGGAATAAAAGGGTAAAAAATAAATAAACTCAGGAATGCTGAGAAAATTAAATAAAATTAAAAATATCTGGAAAGGTGATTGATAATATTTATTATTGACTAGCAATTTATGGACATTTATTTCTCAGCTGTGATATTTAAGTGACAATTTTTCCTGGGTTGACTTTCCTTAAAATCACTGCCAAATTATCTAAATTAAATGATGAAACATTTTTAACCTACTTTTATTTTAAAGAACTTCTGAATTTAAAAGATGAGTCATAGATCAGTCCTACATACCTAGTTTCTAAAAGAAAGGTTCTTAAAAGGTGAGGCTCAAGGGAAAAGAAACCTGAACAAAGACGATGAAAATTATTTATTAGAAAAACAGCAGGGTAACTACACTGTGAATCATTGTTTAAATTAATAGTAGACCAAAGGAGTTGTTTTTACCACTTGACTCAGCTAATAAATGATTTTGCATAAATGCAGAAACATAGTAGGAATTACGATAGCCGCACGTTTATTGATGCAATGACTACAAGGCATATAGGTAGGAGAAAAGGAAAGATTTGATTTTTCTTTCCACGCATTGTTTTAATTAACTAGGAATTTCACTTTTTTGTTGGGTTCAAACATTTTCTATTTTACTTTACCTATTTCAATGTAAAAAAATATTATCATCTGATTGTTATCTTATTTCACATCAAAGTTTTTGTTTAGTTTTAAGATCAATGAGGCTTTCATAATGAATCCTTTATATTTTTGTCTCTTCTGTGGAATTGTAGAAGGTCTTAATTGACAGTGGAGGAGCTCCTATATTACACCTGAAGGGAAAATCTAAATTTCAAAGTGCTATGGAGGAAATTTTATCACATCCCTTATAAAATTAGCATTAATTAATATTGGAAATAGCTGAATGTCATAGTTACTGACTTTGGCCTTCCCTGTTCCCCAACACCATCAGTTCACGGCAACTGTCCCTAGTATTGCTGTGTTCATTTCTTGCAGGTCACTAGCAAACCTAGAACAACTGTTTGTGTCCTTTGCTACCCTGTGAACCCTGGAAAAGATGAAAACCACGTATGTCAGCTTACGCTCCCCTGTGCGATTAACCCAATCAAATGTTTTGAAATCCAGCAAAAGAACAAACACTGGAAGGAAATTCGCAGAAATTATGTTATAATATCTTTACAAATAGCTCATGCAAATTAACGTTAAAAGTATATAAGCATAACAATTAAGCAAAATATGTACTCAGGCTATTTACCAATGATGGAATTATAAACAGTTTTAAAAACCCATGCAAAAATGTTCAACCTCATTATAATCAAAGTAATGCATATTAAACAATGGTTTAGCATGTTGTGCTTTTTATTAGGAAACATTTCTTTAATTAGGTCAGCCTGCTAAGGAGAAGCCCTGCTAGGAGGAGAGTGAATTGGCTTTGGTCGGAAAAGCAATTTGGTAATAATGAGACTTGAAATGTTCATAACCTCTTACTTGGTAACTCCAGTTCTAGAAACTTTCCCAAGAAAATAATCCTAAATGTAGAAAAAGCTACAGAGATGCTCATCTTTCTGTCATTTAAAATATTTTTTTAAAAAACTGGATACAACATAAATGCCCAACAATAAACAAGTAACATAAATTATAATTAACCCAATAGATGTTATCTTGTATGTTCATGTAAAATAGGCAGAAGTTATTATAAAAAAGGGAAATAGTTACATTATAATGTTTGTGAAAAAAGCTGGATTATGATTTTATGTACATTATTATTTCAATTATTAAAAGCAAACCATGTCAAATGTACAGAAATAAAAATGGGAAGGAAATACAATGTACTATATTGAGGTTTTTTTAAGGAGATGGGAACTATGTAAATGATATATATAAGTGTGTATATACACACACACACACATATATACATGTGTGTGTGTATATATATGTGTGTATATATATATTTAACAATTCTCACCCTTAATAAATATACATGTTTTCTCTTACCACAAACAATGTTTATTAAAGAAAAATTACTTAAAAGAATTAAAGACGGATGAACTATCAACATGGAAGAGACACAGCTAATCAAAGTGGATTCAGCTCTCACAATCCATTCCACATATGATGGAATTCTGGGGGGAGTTAATATATTTCCTAAACTCTAAAGAATTAGAATGTGGCTACTCTTAACCTACTTTATAACTAAACTAAGATGAAGAAGAATGTGTATGGTCAATGAGTTTCTTTAAATATAACAAGTCCTGCCTGTGTCATAATTATTTAAAAAAACAAACAAACAAAAAAAAAAACACTTACTAAACAGCTATAACTCACTTTATATTATAAAACACTTCCAAAGTTTTTTTCTAAGAGCACATAGTCATGTATGCTCATTAATAGATTTCAAAATATGTTCTAATTATACTGAAGGTTATCCCACATTTAAAAAATAATGTGTAAACTAATTTACTTTCCAAATCTTACGTGTCTTTGCTGGAGACTTGGAAATTATTAAGTGAAATTTTAGGCATAGGAATGGAACAAAAGAATTAAAAACTCCACTTACCTGACATGCTTCTTTTCTCAGAGAAATCCTTATGTAGCCATAAGGCAAACGCATGGATTCAAAATGCTCCTGGAAACTTTTGCTTCTAAGTAACGTTAGCTTTGTTGTGTTAGAAGTGTGCCAATAAAACTTGTTATCTCCACCTCAGGTTTTTCTCTCTTCTGTTTCTTAAAATCTTTCGTGTGTACTTTGTTCAGTTACAAACAGGAAATGTGGTGATGGAGGCTTCTAGACTTCTGATCTGAAACTGGTAGGCTCTTAAGTTTTTATGTAACGTGAGAAAATACCACAATGCTACGTACTCTGGCATTTACATTTTCATCAATACCTAAACCTAATTCAAAACTAAACAATGAAATCAAGTTCTGAATTAGACCAAGAGGGGTCTCTGCTCTTTCTAGGAAGAATGCAGGGGTCTCCTCACTAATGAGTTTACATGGAAATAAAATAAAGTACATGAACTAGGGAGGAAATTATGAGAAGCCCCCAGGTGCGCTAAGCTGTTATCTTTGCTTTCTTTGAGACATGGTAGAAGAACGGAAATGAATACCTTTTGAACACGACTGTGTGTCAGGTACCTTCTCTACATTATTCCACCAGGAGAGTGAGGGCCTGCTTTCTCCACCAGCCCTCACCTCAGCCAGCGTGAGTCCCTCCGATCAATCTGGGCCCACTGGGCAACAAGCTCCAGCTCTCAGTTCCCACCCCAGAGTCTCCATGTTCAGAAGTTTTCAAATGTTAGCGAGCACCAGTATGTGATGTGGTACCAATTTAACATGCATATTCCTAAGACCCTCTAAATCAGAACATCTGGAGTGGAGCCCGGGAACCTGCAGTTTCACAAGCACCCCCTGGTTATTTTCATGCAGATGTTCTGAACAATGCTCTGAGAAACTCATATGTACATCAGTGGAAGCATTTTATCTCAGCGGGATCTATGCATGTGGTCTGTGTGTGTTTCTGTGTATTTGTATCTGTTGTGTGTCGTGTGCCTGTACATCTTTGCTTAACGTAGTCCACCAATTTTCTTTAATTATGGAATAATGACAGGCCTGAATCCAGTTTATTACAAAAGGAGAAATACTTAAACTTTTAGAACTTAAACTTTAAGGGAGACTAAAAAATGAGACCTGATGCACAGACTCAGAGCAAAGGTATTCGATAGATGGTTTGCAGGATATTTTACTCCAGCTGATTTCTCTAATATCCTTAAGGGCAGGGAGAGTATTGATTTTTATCTGTCATTAAAATTCCAGCCTCCAGAATGATGCCTGGCACACTGTAGTTTTCAATAAATATGTTCACAATGACTGAACAAATAAAAGAATGTTAGTCTTCTGCTTTCTTCTTGCTTCATTTAAAAAAAAACAACTTCCTAGTAACCAAAGTGATGGGCTTCCTTATTCTTGGAACAGAGTCAACTAAACACTAACGGAATTTTCTACTTCAATCGTTTTCTTCAAAAACATTTCTTGTGAATTATTGAATCAGAGTCTGTAAAACTAAAAGAGACCATGAAGACTCTTCATCTAATCTGATATTTTGAAAAGCATTTTCAAAATATGTTCTGTACAGCACTAGGACTTTAAGAAACTTTTGTAAAATTAATGTTCCTTCAACAAATATATTTGGAAAAACGGATGTTTTCACCTTTGTGAATACAAGCATATTAGAGGCTTGGTAAGTCCTACAAAAATAGAAACCCGAATAACCATTTTAACAGAGCTTTTTCTAATCCTATTTGGTCAGTCAGAGAGTTTTTGTTCAACTGCCATTCGTTAGCAGGGTGACGGGCCGTGTGAACTGGGCCTGGATGCCCACAGACCAAGAGCTCAAGGGAACAGAAGAATCAGGTTCCTGTAGGGACCAAAGGACAACAAAGAATCGGAAGGATCCATTCAAGAATTAGGTAGCACACAGGAAGAGAGACTGCTGAAAATCTGAATCCTGGATTTTAGGTAGTTTGGAATGCCTGAGACATCTGTTTAAGAGTCAAGGTCCCAGCTGTGGGGCAACCTGGAGGGGTTGAGCTTTGGTCCTCAAATAGGATAACTGGAGAGGAGAATTGGTGCCCCAGGCTCAAAAAGGGAACTTCACTGATAACCTAAACAAGACCTTGGAACATGGGCAAAGTAGATGCCCATTTACATCAACTGGGACATACAGAGAACTTACCTGGGAGAGAGAAGCGGTCTCAGGACTGGAAATTTAGGTGCAGGCATACCCTTGTTAGAACAACAGTGCAGAGGGTGAAACAAGAAGGAACAAGGATACCCGCATCCTAGGTCTTCCATAAAGCGCAAATCCAGAAGCAGTCAGGGTGTTCAGTAGTTGGTTTTGGCTGTAGAGAAGGTAGACTCAGGAATGATTCAGGAAAAAGGCAGGAATTCTTTGGTTAGCCCAGGAGGTACGTGTACCTCTCAAGAGAGCTCAAAGAAAGGGGGGCAGAGAGCCTAAATAAACCCACCAGTTGGACCAGTGCCTGAAGCTGCCTAAGGACTTCCCTGCCTCTGCTCTGTGAGATCTGGGGAAGGCAAGGGCAGAGGAGATGGGCACAGACAGAGAAGGGGTACACTTTTCCTCTTCAGGTCAGTAAGGCAGTCCGTGGTACACATTTCAATGACTTAAAATAGTTAATGAACACGATGCATGATCAGTATTTCCAAAATAGTAAAACTTAGGCTGATAAATCCTAACCACTTCACCATTTACCATTACGGTAATATTTTTGAAAAGCGATCTACATTATAATGTCTCCCATTAGATTTATATAATCAAGAGAGAGCAAGATTATCCAAGTTTACAGAGAAAGTTTGTATTTGTGCATTAGATAGCTCTACAGATGTTTGAAATTTGTCAGGGAAATATATGATCGTTTTTCATTAAATATAGAGGGCTGAGCACATAGAGACATGATCAGAATATAAAAGAGCCCGTGGATCTATATTTGTTATGAAATACAGTAGCGAGTGCATTCAGAGATTTGAATAATAGCTTCATGAGCATGTTCAAATGATAAATAAACATGAGGCGTCTGTAGTACTTTTTAATGAGATGGGTTATCAAAATGAAGTTTATAAGATAGCCAGACTAAGCAGAACTGTCCTAACAGTTAGAAATGTTGTAGGAGATTTTGGCAGAAGGGATGTAGTTTTGATGGTCACCTGTCAAGACATGAGAATTTTAAGGCCAACAAAACTGAGGTTTAGTTACCAAAGAAATAAAATAAAAACATATCAGAATGGCAGCTGCCAGTCAGAGCTTCCAAACTCAGAAAAAATGGGTCATGGAATATAAAAAGAAGCCAGTTTTCAAATTTTTTCTTATAATTATATATATATATTTTGTAATTTATCTTTATCATGATAGTATACATAACATATATATATATATACATATTATTATACACACACTCATATATATTTTTCTTTATTTTTTTTGATGCAAGTTTCAAACTACAAGGAGCAGTTTTTAGCAGGGGATAACCTGGGACTTTGACTTTATATATTTATCTATTGTTTACATTATTTATAAGCCCTGGCCAGTGTTGCCTAGTGGTTGGAGCATTGGTCCATGCACCAAAGTGTCGTGGGTTTGGTTCCTGGTCAAGATCAGGTACTGAGTTGCAGGTTCCTGCGTACAAGCAGCAAACAATTGATATGTCCCTCTCACATCAATGTTTCTCTCTCTCTCTCTCTCTCTCTCTTCGTCCCCCTCTCTCACTTATACTCTCTCTAAAAATTAATGGAAAAAATATCCTCAGGTGAGGATTAACAAAATAACATGCGCAACTTTTAGAGTTGTAATAAAGGATACTTATTTTAAAGACTCTTTAGAATACTATTGTTTTATAGAAACAGAATTTATTTCTCTGTGTGATTTTTCTTTATTCCAGTTGATCATTTTTTAGTAATACTAAAGCTAGTAAAAAATAAACAAACAATTTTAGGGGAAAAACCCCTATGCTTCCAATTATGCTGTTTTAAACTGTGAAATTATTCAAAATTAAAATTAATAATTGCATCTGATTAGACTATATTGATTACTCATATTTTCATTGTGTTTACACTATAAGATCATCCAGAAAATATAATAATTATTCAGATGGAAAAGAAAAGGACAATTTAAAAGCAATAAAAAAATTCATACATTTGGTATAAGATTCTCAGATCTTTTTATTACACTTATTATAGCCGTATAGAACAGTAGAGTAATAAAAATTGAGAAACAAGAGAGAGAAATGGCTAATAGCAGGTATAGTCTATTTTCCTACATGGGAAAGGCTGAAGTATCCAAAACTTCTGGAAGAGAATGATTTGCCCCATTATACAGATTTTTATGTGATGTTCTAGAGGGTGTGCTATTATCAAAGACAAAACATTCTGAGAAATTTTATTTGACACACAACTGACTCAACAAATTGAAATCAGTATATTTTCTGTAGGACTTTTCATAGCTTTGATGAGCTAATATGCAATTTCTCTTCTCAGGAAGAGAAATTTTTGTTGTATTATGTGATATTTCCAAAAATTATTGCACAAAAGGAATATACCTTTATTTTTTCAAAGCATTTTGCAGAACACTGGATCACATAACTTTATCTTTCTGTTGAACTAACCTTCTGGCATCCTCCCACATTAAGGACCTGATTTTAACTGAAGGACACCAAAAATAATATCAACTTTACCACCTGTATATTGATTTCCATCTCTAAAAATGTTTTGCTTGAGATTATAAAGAAATGAACCCTTAAATTCAAATGCCCAGGACAGGTAACACAGCATCCTCAGAATAGCTTACACAGTGATACTAGTTCTAGTGAATTCACCAAATAAGACATGCAATAAATTAAATTTGCTTGAAATAAGAGATTTTGGACTAGGACATTTCTAGAAGGCAAACCCTAGTTGGAGGACTCTAGGACCAGAAACATACAATGAGAGCAGGGACACTAAGAAATGATGCACAAGCCAGGGTCCTGAAACCAATGCACCAGTCAAAAGGGGTAGTTAGAGGAGTTTAATGAAAGGACTATTTGCAGAGGTGCTAGCAGGACTAAAAGGAAGAACAAGGGCTGGTGAAGCACTTTCAGATTAACAACAGCAAAAGCCCATATCAACCCTTTGGTTTGAAAGTAGTAGAAGAATATCTAGTTTCTGTAAACCAGTGAGATATATAGCTGTAAGAAAGGGCTGCCAGACAGGAACTATAGCTTTCA